GGAGGTCAGCCAGGCGTCCTCAGCTCCCCCGCCTTCAACACCCCAGCCATCCACACGCTGCACACACCCGCGCTCGTAATTGAGGCTTGCTTTGGGCAGATGCTTTGTGGAGTGGGGCTAGAACAGCTGCTAAGTTTATGGAGGAGAAAGAAAGCAGGATGGTGCAGCAGGTATTTCTCCCTGTTTTATTTTTCATTGGGAATTGTGATTTGAATGGTACTCAAACCCGTCCTTGCGTTAAGTCGGTGCTGTCTGCTGTGCTACTGTGCCCCCTGCATCCCTGCATCCTGCATCCCTGCAGCCTGCATCCCTGCATCCCTGCATCCTGCATCCTGCATCCCTGCATCCTGCATCCTGCATCCTGCATCCCTGCATCCTGCAGGCGGAGGCGAGGATTTCAGCCTCCTGTGTGTGTGTGTGTGTGTGTGTGTGTGCGTGCACACACGCGCTAGCCTTCTGCTTGATGTGTTGAACTGAGCTGTTCTCAGAACCAGCAGGTTAATGGTGTGATTCTGCATTTCTTGACTTTGTTTCCATGCCCCGGGGCACGATGCTGTTTAGCTCCTTGCTCTGCACTGGAGGCTTTTTCTGAGTATGTGCCATTTCTTGCCAGAGAAGTAGAACTGTGCACACCACTAAACTAAAGTAAAGCAGAGTGTCAGCAAGACTGCACACTGCGGGCAGCGCCGGGAGGCTGGTTCTCCCCAGTGAGAGTGGGGTGAGGGGGCAGGATGCCGGGGGAGGGCCGTGGGCGGGCCTCACTGCTCTCCTTGCTGTGTGGACAGACACAATCAGCTGGACTGTGAGGGCTGGACACTCCCTGTGTGATTCTTCAATATCGGGGCTGGGTTTATGCACAAGAGGATTTTGAAGGGGCAAGAAATGGACAGGGGAGAAATAAATTCCTGACGCAAAGGGAAAATAGGTCCTCAAGAAGTTTGACAATGAGAAATGGAGAAAACAAACGAACTACAGAAAAGAAAAATATACTTTTGAACTAAAAGACCAATCGATGGTCACCAGAAGGGACGGGAATCAGGGCTGCAGAGAAGGGGGCCCACGGTGGAGAATGGCGCCAGCCTTTATGTGTCCGTTTACACGTGGATTCTGGATGATGCACCCTGAAAATTAATGATGTCATCTTGCAACTAAAGTAGAAAATAAAAGTGAAGAATGCGTTGGGGAAACACACACAGGGAAATGCTTGACGGGTGTCCAGCCCACCTTGGCAGTGAGGGCAGCCAAGCTTTCCCTCCTCTGTGTGTGAATCAGGCATTTTGACTGAAAAGCATGTACCCGGTGTGTGCCCTCCACATGGAGACTATTTTGCCATTGAGATGTCATTTATGTTAGGTTTTTTTAAAAGATTTATTTATGCATACAAGAACTGGGGTACAGGCCAGAGGTGCGAATGGAGGGGTGAGAAGGCTCACCAGAGACAGCGTGGGGAGCAGAACAGGCGGATCTACTAAAATCCACTGCTGAGGGGAGCAGCGGGGAGACAGGAGAGGTCTGCTGCGCCCTGTGGGTCACCTCTCTGGCTGGGGAATCGATCTCGTGCTGCAGAGGCTGGGGACAGCTTCATGGGTTGCGTCTTAACCCCTTGCGCCACCAGGGAGGCCCTGGGTTAGATTTGGAGCCAGAATGTTTTGCAAAGTCGAATGGGTCCTTTGTTCTTTTATGAGTTTCTCACAACTGCTTTATTAAACCACTCAGGGCGATGAGAAGAGAAATGAATAGAGAAATTAAAAAAAAATAAGAGGATCCTCTTCTTTGCTTTCTGGCTCTGTCTCCTGAGCCCACCGCAGAGAGGAAAGTGGGGGTGTGGGATGTTTCAGGAACGAAAGGACCGCACCTCGCGTCTGAGGGTGGATTTCTGGGGTCCACTCTGCTCTAGTCGTCAGCTTACGGTGTTTCTCTTAAAATAGCAAAGATATCCTGACTATTTCATGCTTCGGTAAAATATTTAAATTGAAATGGCTTTTTTTTTTTTTTTTTTTTTTGCTTTGGTGACTCAGACTTGTCTGCATCCTAACAATCCTAGTGGTCCTGGTCCCTGGCACACAAGCTGAGGGTCGGGGTCCCGGGTCACGAGGGGCCCCTGCCATCCTCCTGGATTGAGTTGCTCTAATGGACCGAGCTTTGGTGGATGAGGACAAGGGAGTTTCCTCCATGTGGATCCGAAGGGCTGCTCTTTATTTCAAGCTTCTACCCAGTGCTGTAGCAATAGTGGGTTTCAAATCATGAGGTCTTGGTGGTTTTATTTTTTTTCCCATTTGTGCAGCAACCCAAGAAAATCCACACACTGAAAATTAGATGTTAGGTTTCCAAAGTCTTGAGGCGCTGGCTGGGTGATGTGGGGGATGCGTGCAAAGCACAGTCACCCTCCCCTCTCACTCAGAGCCCCCCTAGCACCCTGCCTCTGGAAATACCAGTATTTCTGGGATCATCCCACTTATTTAGGGAAAGGTGGGGGTTCGGCCTTGGGTAGAAGGCGGCTTCTGCCAATAAGGGAATGTCTAGCCAGAAGGCTCCAAATAACTCTTGCCTGTCACCATCACCTCCGTGACGTTGACTGCAGTTCTCAACCCAGAGCCCGTTCACATGACCAAGCTCCTTGACCTGGAGCGGAAAAGGTGCCCTTAACGTGAAGGTATTTTTCCAGAAAATACATTTCAGCCAAGCTGAGAATCCAGGAACATCACTAGGGAGGAAACAAGACATCTCTGAAGCCATTTGAAGGTGAAAAAAAAAAAAAATTCCATAGGAAGTGCAATGATCTTAATTAAATATTAGCTGTAATTAGCCCAAAGTGCAAATGTTGGGAATATTAATTAGGGTTTCTCTGGGAGGACTGTCAGTGTTAATCAGTAACAGTGGGGGGTCCCGCCAACATCTGTTGGCGAACTCAGGGATCAGGAATGTGATCTAGAAGCCCGGGACCTGGATGCACCTGGAGGCACCTGGGCTTCCCCCGCTACAGGTGGCATCCTGGCTGTGCCAGGTGCTGGTGAGGTCGGTGGTCTGTCCTGGCCCAGCCGGCCCTTGCCTTTCCTAAGGTGGCCCAGACCCTTCTAGAGCCCGGCTTCAGCCTGGAGAGGGCAGAGCTTTCCCATGTCCTGCTCTGCCCCTGCCCCAGACGCCCCCTGGCCTGGCGAATCTGCACCTCCTGCAGCCCAGCACGCACCCTCCCCCGCGTGGGATGTCCCACCGGGTCTGGAGGCCTGGGTGCATGTGACAGAGAGAGATGTCATCTCTTTTGTGAATTGGAAACGAACCTCCCCAGCAGGTGATCATCTTGCCAGATGAGAGACACCTGGGCACGCGACGGACACCATTTATTTTAGCTCCCGGCTTCCTTAAGAGGTACCTAAGGCTGCATCCTTGCAAGATTATTGGCCAGTTTGGGACTGTACCATCCTTCGCCACAAAATTAAGTGGGATTCGAAATGCAATGCACAGAATGCAGGATTCTAGATGTCAACACTCTTAACACGGGGGCTGCAAAGCATCCTTTGCGGGGCGGGGGCTGCTGTGTATCGTAGTGTGATTAGTGCGTCCCTGACCTCCACCCCCAGGTGCCAGAAGCACCCCTTCCTCCCATCGTGACAACCAGAGTGGCTCTGGTCAGCCACTAATGGCCCCTGAGCAGCCACCACCGTGTGAGCGCTACTGATGCAAAGCGCCCGGCACATGGCCGGCACCCAGCGGCCTGTCCCAGAGCACCAAGGAGACCAGGGCGCCACCCGAGGAAGCACCGAGGCCGCCCTAACCCTCCTGCGCCCGCCACCTGCGGAGTGTGCCACCCAGTGTGGTGTGTTTACGGCTCAGCATCCAGTGATGCAAGTGGATCCCGAAGGAGAAGCAGATGTTCCATACCAGGCCACCTCGACACTGCCACGTCCAGTCTGCTGAGCGGTTCTCTCTCCTGCCTTGCTGCTGGCTTAATTCCTGCCCTGACTATCTGCATGAGAAGGACTCCTTATCTGTGTCCCCTGGTCAGTTAGAAGACTTTTTCTGCCTAGGACCATCCAGTCTCTGGCACAACTACAGGACTCTGCATCAAAGCACAGGCTGCATGGCGATGTCCCAATAAAGCTTTATTTATAAGGTTAAACCGTGCCCAGATTTGTCCCTGGGTCATTTGCCAATCCCTCTTTTTCTTTTCCCACACTCTCTCCTGTTGCCTAAGACAAGAATCCAGGGGTCGTTATTCCGACACGCATTCACTTAGCAAACACACAGGCCCAGTGGGGCTCTGGAGATGAAAGGGAGGGTGTGACGTGGCTTCCGCTCACAGGGAAAGCCAACAAACAAACAGCACTTGGAGTGATGTCAGATGTGGTCCCAGGCTGCAGCGGACAACAGGGAAGAAACAGCTGCACGTGCGTATCAAGGAAGGCTTTCAGGAGGAGGCGGCTCTCGATCTGGTCCCTGGAGACAGGAAGAGGCCAGCCAGGCCAGGGAGTAGGGGACCCTTTCCCAGCAGGGAGGAGACTTGATGTGGGCCAGAGCTTGGGGCCCTGCTTCTACCTCAGGATCCCCGGCTTCCAGGGCACAGGGCCCTTCTGTTTCCAGCGCAGAGGGAGCTAACACCGCGTCCAGTACTTCCAGGATGGGCCTGCTGACATTTCACTGTCGGCTCCATCCCCCTGGCTGACTTCTGCTTTGGGCAGACCCTCTTCAAGAGCTGTCTTGGTTGCTGCAGGCTGACATTTTTATAGCCACCCCTCGCCGTGGGAAGAGACCTCCACCCCCAGCTCCAGCAAAATCCCAGGATCAAACCTCCCTGGCGTTTCCTGGGCCGCACTCGGTTAGATGGACGCGAGGCCGTATCCAGAGACCCAAGAGTGGAAGGCTATGCGAGCCAGGCCAGGGCGCGTGACAGTACCAGCCAGGCGCCTCCACACACACACACACACACACACACACACAACACACACACACACACACACACACACACACTGCCTGAGAGTGGAAGTCCCTGCAGAGAGACGGACATGATCCTTGAAGAAAGAGACATGAGCTCCCAGCCCCCAGCCGCCTTGACAACCAACATCCTGGTGGTCCCCAGGCGTGGCCAGATGCCCATGCCCGGCGCAGACAGACCCCACCAGCCCCAAATGCTTCACAAAGAGGTTGGAAGGAAGGGCCTGCATTTCTGTTTCCACTGGCTCGGATATTTGGAGAAACCAGTCTGGGGGTGGAAAGGGATGTCTTCACTTGTAAAATGTTTTTAACTTATCCCCGGCTTCGCTCTCCTCAAAGTGTCATCGTTAACATTCTAATTAAGGTCCCCTCTAAACACACGCGCCAGCTCGGTGCCTGGATCTGAGAATAAACTCATCCCGCCCCGGCCAGGCTCTTTGCTGCTTTAGCCGAGCGGCTCTTGAGCCTCTTTGGCCGGGACCGAGGCGGCGGGAGCCACCCTGACGTCTGTGTCCTGCTGTGGTTCTCGGAGGGCCCAAGTCACATGCAGTCGACCGCAGCCGAGGGAGGGGAGCCTCGGGGGTGCTTCATTGCCGAGTCTCCCTCCCTCTCTCTCTCGCTCCTGTTTTTCTCTCTCTCTGTGTGGTCTGAGACCGTGGAAAATTTGCACCTCCGGGTTACGGTTTCTGATGCCATGGTGCGTGTGCGCGTGTGCGCGTGTGCCAGTGTGTGTGGTAGTGAGGCGTGGAGGTGGGCGTGGAGGTGGGAAAAGATAGATGTTTCCTGAAATGGAAGCGTTTGAATTCAGGGTTTTTTTTTTTTTTTAATTCTTTTGATTAGACTGTAACGATCACACTGCATGTTTTGCCTAGATCTGAAGGGCGGGTTGTTATGTAATACTCTGTGCTGGTAAAAAAAAAAAAATCAGGCGGGGGTTGGGGGGGGCCCTGACTAATGAGACTGAGAGTTAAGTCCAGGGTTTTGCAGAAATACTTAGGGTGGGGGTATCGGGGGCACCATCTTTATCCAGATTGCCCTGGAATTTTCTTTTTTTCTTTAGTTGTTTCACATTAGCACTGAGAACATTCTCTCTCTCTCTCTCTCGCTCGCTCGCTCGCTCGCTCTCACACACACACTCACACACACACACACACTCTCACACACACACAAGCACCCGCGCACACCATTGTGGGCATTCAGAGGCACCCCATCCCCTTCTATGAGCCAAGTCACATCAAACTTGGATTCAATTCACTGCTTAGATGAGTTCTCTCCTCTCAGGAGCACACGCCATTCCATCTCTCTTGGCATTTGGAGGATCAGGTCGAGGTTGTGCTGTCACGGTAGACTGCAACCGTGCTCCCGGCGGGAATGAAATCAGGGGGCCCTGGTGGAGCCCTGCCCGGGGGCGCAGCCCCCTCTCTAATGCTGGCAGGGGGTTGGGGAAAGGTGTCGCCTTGCAGGGCCTCAGTTTCCACTCTGGTGCAACAGGGTGTCCGAGGTGGTCCTGGCAGGCAGGTCTGGTCTGGTGGATGAGCGGGATCGGTGCCCTCAGGCTCTGGACACGGCACAGCTTCCAGTGCCAGAGCAGGGGCCCTGGGTGGGGAGGCTCTCTGGGTGCCAGCTCACCTTTTCTTTCTCCCCCTTTTGGCTTTTGCAGGGTAATCAGGAAGCAGCCGCCGCCCCGGACACCATGGCTCAGCCTTACGCTTCGGCCCAGTTCGCCCCCCCTCAGAACGGCATCCCCGCGGAATACACGGCCCCTCACCCCCACCCCGCGCCAGAGTACACGGGCCAGACCCCCGTCCCTGAGCACACGCTAACCCTGTACCCTCCCGCCCAGTCGCTGTCGGAGCAGAGCGCTGCGGACACCAGCGCGCAGACGGTCTCCGGCACCGCCACAGTAAGTGGTGCGCTCGGGGCGCGTGCCAAAGGTGGGGGGCTGCACCTGCCTGGGGGCGCCCCACCTGCCGGGGCTCCCGCTCAACACCAGCCCTGTGCCCTCCTGGCCCCCCGGGCTCCTGTCTGCACGCGTCCTCCCCTGTGCCGTCTGCAAACCAGCCACATCCTTCACTCCCAGGCCACCTGCACCTGTCGTGTCCCCTTTCCAGGACTGTGCCATCTCCTGGGACTCAAGCACGAGGCTCCTCAAACTGGTTACATAGAGATAGAAAGTACAGCCCATAAAATTCACACCTTTCTTAGGTGTACAATTCCCTGGTCTGTAGTAGATTCATGGAATGAGGCAGCCATCACACCATGTAATTTTGGAGATTTCCATCACCCCAAAACAAAACTTGTGTGCTTGGACCAAAGCTCCCACTTCCTCCCCAGAACCCTTAACTTAGCCTAAGGCACCTGCTGTTCAGCTACATTTGTAGGACAGTCCCTGGTTCTTCCTTTTTTACTGCTGAGCGTTGGGGTAGCAGACCCGGTGGTTACAGAAGTCTAGGCACCAAAAAGAGTACATTTTATTGCATGGAAATTGATTTACTATATTAAAAAAAAAAACAGAAAATAAGTCAAAAGAACAATATTTTATTGCCATCGTCAATGAAAACTGGCATAATTGGCTATGGATCAAAAATAACCCTAAGCAAAAATGACTTTAAAATTAGTGCTGATTTGTTGTACCATCTCACTGAGTCATCAAGATGCATATGAACATCTGGGAACCTGGTTGTGCTGAATTCTTAGGAAGCTCGGGCACAGCAGGCTCAGGTCCAGAACCTGTCGTAGGGAGGAGGTAATTATGCCTCCTTCTCCTGTCCCCAGACCTCTGGAAAACCAGTTTTTGTGAAAAAGTTTGTTGGTTTGAAGTGTGGCTTATTTCTTGTAACTAACAGTAACCATTGACTAACTTTTCAACCTGGTACTTTATTTGGAGGTTTGGGTAAAAATTTAAAAAAATATATACTAGCCTAAAATTTTTTCAGCCCCCTTTTTATTGTGGTAAAATAGATCCATAACATAGCATTTGTCATTTTAGCCATTTTAGCACATACAATTCAGTGGCATAAATATATTCACAATTGAGTGCAAACATCGTCATTATCTAGTTCTATATTTTCATCACCACCCCCAAAGTACCACACCACTATGCAGTACTCTCCATTTCTCCCTTCCCCCTGTCCCTGGAAACCATCATTTGGTCCTCTGTCTGAATGGATTTGGGCATTCTGGATAGAAACATATAATATATGACCTTTGTGCTGGGCTTATTTCACTTAAAATAATGTTTTCAAGGTTTATCCATATTGTAGTATGTATTAATACCTCATTCTTTTTCATGGCTGAATACTATTCCACTTTGTTGCATATATTTCCTTTAAAACATTCTTTCATTTATTCGTAGACCTCTGCAAATTTTTGCAGTTGAGAATAGTGTTGTTATTGCCTCTTTGTTCTGACTGCTGTGTCTTAGGGATGGATGCATCACATGGCCTGGCTCTCTTAGAGTATGTTTATTGTTGTGTTGATTGCCAGGTGGAGTGATAGAGTTGTTCATTTATTTATTTATTTATTTTAATTTTATTTTATATTTATTTATTTATTTATTTATTTATTTATTTATTTATTTATTTATACAAGCACTGGGTACAGTCAGAAGCGCGGGAGGGTGAGAGAATTCACCAGAGCCAGAGTGGGGAGCAGAGCAGGCAGAAGGATCGAAATACACTGCTGAGGGGAGCAGCGGGCGGCAGGAGAGGTCTGCGCGCCAGAGTTGTTCATTTTTTTATTGGTTATTTTATGATAATGGCTATTCTAGGATTTTAAAAAAGTTCAGTCAGACTTTATTAAGCCTCAGCATGTGCCAACTACACTAACTGTTGTGGGGGAGCCATCCACTCACTCACAATAGTTATTGAGCTTCTGCTGGGGCTAGGACTCAAACTAGGTGGTGTGCTTGAACCAAGTTGAAGTAGTCCTCTCCCTCTTGTAGATAGTGTGAGAGGAAGAGCAAGAAGATGGGCTGCTCAGATAGCTGTATCAACATACACTGTGACATTAGCTATATCAACCCACATTGTGATGTATGCTCTTAAGGAAACAAGAACTATGGGACGTTAAACAATAGCAGAAGTGCTTCCTGCAAATGGGTAGTCTGGGAACATTTCTTCCAGAAGAGGATTTTTAAGGTGAGAAGACAAAGCTTTCTAGGCAGAAGGAGTACAGCATCGAAGGTCCTAAGGATGGAAGAACTTTGCTCTGCAAAGAACTAGAAAAAGACCAATAAACCCAGGGCCTATGAAGGGATTTATCCATCCAGTGCATGGAGAGGAGCTCTGCGGGGGCCACCCCAAAGGTCTACCGGGTTCTGTAGTAACTTGGGATTCTACCTTAGGAGCGATGGGGAGTCATTAAAAAGAGTTTAAGTGAGAAGAGTTATAAAATGACAATTTCAAAATTTCAAAGAAGGGATTAGTTATGCGTATCTTAAAAGAAATCAATCCAGTTGGGGAGGTGAGATGCTTGACATCCTCTCTTATACATACGCACAAAACTCATTAGCAAGCAACACAACTGAACTTAAAAACTCTGTTGGTTGTGGCTCTGCCCTGTGCAGGACAGTGAGCTGAAGGAACAGACATGCACCTTTCCTCAGGGAGCTTTGCATCTGCTAGTGAGCGCAGGATATGCGTTCTGGAAATTATTGTCGCGTGGTGAGTTCTATAGCCCGAGTCTTCAAGGCTTTGTGTATCATGGTGGCAGAAGAAAATGCTTTCTAAGGAGGCTGTCTCAACCAACACCATGGCTGAGTAAGAAATAAATATTTGAGGGTCTTCTGGTTGCTAGTGACAGAAAACTCAGGAAGGAATGTGTTGGCTCATACACAAAACCCAGGAGGAAGATTGACTTTAGACAAAGCTGGGTTTGGGCATAGACCCACTGGGCTCCAACAGGATCCATCCCTGGTCTTCTTCCTCTTGCTTAGCTCCTTCCTCCAATTCTGTGTGATGGTCATGGCAAGAGCAGGCTCTTGCCATTATACCAGATTCAAAATGGATGACTCTTGGGCCAATCCCAGCACACCCTGGGAAACAGTCTCTCCCTGTTTTCTATGGAATCTCTTAGTTCAGGGCTAGAGCTAAACTTGAGTGCCTTGGCCCTGGAGCTCTTGATTCCCATACCCAGATTCATGAGCCAAGGATGGTTCCACCAGAGCCAATGATAAGGCACCTTCAGAATGCATCATAGAAGATATTGATGAATAGAAACTGGTCGGAGCTCAAGGGAGCAGGGCGAGCCATGGATGGAGGGGTTGAATCTATACATTTGCCAAGTGTGGGTGACAAGAGAGGGACAGATCCTTGGAGAACTCGTAGGTGGTGGTGTGTAGAAGGAAAGGTGCTCCTAAGTGAGACACAAGTGTGGTCTGTAGACTGGGGTTGAGCCAGACAATGAAGTCAGGGACGCCTGGCTGATGTGAACTGACACTGGCAGTTGGGACATCCCTGATGACCAGGAAGCAACTGGGTCGAGGACTCTGTGAGAAATATGCAGGGAGTGTGCGCTACCTGTGGTGAGCATTTGGAGTGAAGGAGAGAAAGGAAAAACAGTAATGGAGGGCCTCCCCGGTGGGGCAGTGGGCTGAGCGCAGTGCTGCGAAGCTGTCCACAGCCTCTGCAGTGCGAGTTCGATTCCAGGCCAGCCAGGGAGCTGACCTACATGGTGCAGCAGACCTCTCCTGTCTCCCCGCTGATCCCCTCAGCGTGTATTTCAGTAGATCCTCCTGTTCTGCTCCCCACTCTGTCTCTGGTAAATTCTGTCACCCTCTCATGCCTCTGGCCTGTACCCCAGCTCTTACATAAATAAATATTTTTTTTTTTTTTAAAAAAGCAGCAATGGAGGAACAAAGACGTCAGAGAAAGCAGTTTGTAGGATGGTTGGCTTAATTTCACCCCTCTGGGTGGGAAGAGGACAGAAAGGAGAGCAGGGAGTGAGAGCTAGAGGATGATGACTCAGGAGAGAAAGGGACAGCATTTTAGGAAGAATAGAAAGGACTATGATCAATGGTGTATAGATGCAATGGGCAGTAATTTTAAAAGAAATACTTAATGCAGCTTTACTGACGTGTCGTTGACCTGCTATAAATGGTGCTTACTTAATGTGTGCAATTATGAAGTGCTGACGTGTGTACATACATGTGGGGCCATACTCACAGGTGTCAAGATAACACACATATCCAGTCCCCTCAATATTTTCTTGTATCACCGTCCTCCGCCTCACCCTGTTCTCAGACAACCAACCGATCTCCTTTTATGAAACCTCCGTGCCATTTCCAGAGTTTTATCTCAGTGAGATCAACTGTTAAGTGCTACATTGTGTGGCTTTTCTCACCCCATCTTCATGCTAAGATCCACCTAGAGTGTCACAAGCTTCCGTGGCGGCTCGCACTGTCGAGTGTCATCCGCTGGTGTGGACATGCCACCTCTTGTGGATCCGCTTACTGCGATGGGCTTTGGGTGGTTTTCAGTGTAGCCCTCTACGGAAAAGGCTCCTGTGGACATTTGGAAACACCAGGTTTGATGCGGAAGGGAAGTGTCTCGGTCCATTCGAACTGCGACAAGGAACTGCGCAGACCGGCTGAGCGGAAGCAGAAACCTCATGTTCACAGATCTGGAAGCTGCAAGACCAAGGTCAGGGCGCCAGCTTGTCGGGGCCAGGGGTCCATTTTCTGGTTCATCGCTGGTTCCTCTTCAGTGTCCTCATGTGGGAGAAGAGCCAGGGGACCTGCTCTTGTGTGAGGACACTAATCCCATTCATGAGGGCTCTTCCCCATCACCTCCCAAAGGCCCTGCATCCTGACCCACTCACCTGGGGCTTTCGGATCCCAATGTGCAAACACTCAGACCCCAGCAGGGCGCAGGCGTACACCTGTGAAGACACAGAAATCTGGAT